TATGTATGTGTATGTATGCACACATACATACACATACATACACATACATACACATACATATACACATACATATACATACATATATGCTTATAATATATTGCTATTTAACTTCATTTTTTAAAGAAAGGAACACAGATGCTCAAAGAAATTTTGAAGATAGATGCTTCTGCTACTCCAGAAGGAAAGACTAATGAAATTTCACCTTCCACTTGTAAACAGGACTCTTTTGAAACTGCATCACAATGTAAACACCCCCAAAAGATAGGTATGTCTGTTTATTTTAGTAAATTGAATAGTTGTAGCACATTATAAAATTAATAATTATAATTAATTATGAGCACTTCAAATTATAATTTTCTTCTTTACCTACAACAAACTCTCTAACATACTAAAAATACTATTAAGAGTAGGGAGGATGGGGAAATTGGTTTTTACTGGTTTATTGGTAAAGAAATACACCTTCAAAAGAACACGGAACCATTATTATGTACAGACTATTTGATACTCTAAGATCTGTTATTCTCTTGCTGCAGAAGCTGGTCTATTCAAAGATATTTCCTAGCTACCTATGTACCTTTTGAAGGGGCCATCTAAAATAGAGGGAGGATGTGTCTGCTTGCAGCAGATCAATTGTGGAATATGTTACATTGAAGTAAAGCTCAATATTTTGACTTATTCAAAACATTGGTGTTATATATTCATTTTTATATTATGTTTCATTGATAGTGGAGTTCACGAATAAATCTAATATTGGAGGGTCACAGAACATTCAAGCCATGGGAAAAGGAAGCCATCCTCCACTTGGAACACCAAATACAGTATCTACTGCTGTGTCTGAACTTTCTCGTATCTGTTCCCTTGTTGGAATGTTGCAACCAGATTTCTCATTCCTTAGAACCCCACAGGTAACCTTGGAATTAAATAAATTGGCTGAGTAATTGTTACTTATTTAAAATTGAAGGAAATGCTGCCTTTTAGCAACCTCTTTCTACCTGCATAAATCAAGGATTTGCCATTGCATTTGGATTGTGTAGGCTTCTGGTAAATGTCATATATACTCAACAAAAAGTTTCTTCTAATATCAAGATTGTTTTCAGTGGTGCTTAGTCATAGATGGAGTGGACTTGTCTTTCTGTCTGTCTGTCTTATTACATTTTTACCTTCCCCCCAACCTCACTTAAGTGGTCCGTTTACAATAAAAACATGGCATAGTACCGTATATACTCGAGTATAAGCCGAGTTTTTCAGCCCACTTTTTGGGCTGAAAAAAGCCGCCTCGGCTTATACTCGAGTC